CGATCTCATCCGGCGCGTCCTCCTGTCCCAGATCTCCGACCCCAAGTCCCCCAAATCCGAGGGCTTCTTCACCCGGATCCTCTTCCACTACGCCTCCTCCGGCCTCCTCGACGACGCCGTCCGCCTCTTCCACCAGATCCCCAACCCCACCCAGCTCTCCTTCTGCGCCCTCCTCACCGCCCTCCTCAACGACAGGAAATACGACCTCGCCATCGAGAAGTTCGAAACCCTGCCCAAGTCCACCGGAATTGAGCCCGGCCTCGTCGCTTACAGCCTTTATCTTAAGGCCTTGTGCTTTAAAGAGGACACAGAGACTGTCCGCAAGGTGCTCGATGAAATGGTCGAATCGAAAGGGTTGGCTCCTGACATCATTTGCTACAATGCGGTCTTGTATGGGTACATGAAGAGTGGAGATGGAGATGGGTTCGCTGGGATTCTCGGTGAGATTGAGAAAAGAGGGTTGGAGCCCAATGTGTTCACTTATAATTGTAGGATCGCCATGTTTTGTGGCAAGTCTCAGAGTTTCAAGGGTGAGGAGATTTTGGATGTCATGGAGTCGAAAGGGTTGGTTCCGAATTTGTGGAGCTTTAATGAGCTGATTGATGGGTTTTGCAAGGAGGGGGATCTGGAGTCGGCGGTTAGAGTGTTTAAGAGGATGAAGGTTATGAAGAGGGCAAATGGGAAAGAGGGGTTTTCACCAAATTCGCGGTCTTACCTGTTGCTGACAAGGAGTCTGGTGGAGAAAGGAGAGTTTGGTTTGGGGCTGGAGATTTGTAAGGAGTCGTTGGTTAGGAAGTTTGTACCACCTTTTGAGATTGTGAAGGGATTGGTTGAGGGATTGGCGAAGAATGAAAAGGTTGAGGAGGCGAAGGATATCATTGAGAAAATGAATTTGGTGGTTACAGGTGAGGCTGTGGATGCTTGGAAGAAGATCGAAAACTCGCTTGCTTTATAGGTGAGAACGGATTACATAATATATAAGTTCAACTATCAGAGGTATGTAATTCACTTGTTTTGTTCTTTTGAAGTAGTTTTCTGTTAATGGAATAAGCATAAGAGAATCTCACTGGGAAATCTATTTGTCTTATGTTAATGGTGGACATGATTGATTTGTGGAGAAGAATTGGAAAAAGCAGATTTTTGGTCATAAGTCGACTCATGCACAGGCATAAGTCGACTTATGGTAAGTCGACTTATGTTGGTGCATGAGTCGACTTACGTTCTGCTCTGGATTGTTGGTTTTTTGCTCTGCCAAGTCGACTTATCAGGTCTGATAAGTCGACTTATGATCTCTTCTCCAGTTGCTGTTTTTCGCTCTGCCAAGTCGACTTATGCAGACTGATAAGTCGACTTATGACGGGTTTTTTGGAAAGTTCAGGTTCCTATTTGCAGTCTGTTTGGGTTTCTGTTTTGGTATAAATACCAATACGATTTGAGGGTTTTCTGAGGAGAGTTTTGGGGTTTTGGAGCACAGAAAAAGAGAGATCTTTCTGAGCTATTTGGTAGGGTTATTGGTTGAGAGATTGAGAGATTTGTTGGTGAGATTAGTTGGTTCGTTTGAGCGATTTGTAATCTCAATTTGTACTCTCCTTCTCTATTAGTGAAAACCCACCCCCTTCTTGCCCCGTGGACGTAGGCAATTTGCCGAACCACGTAAAACCTTGGTGTTTGTGTTTTGTTTGGTCTTTCTCTCGGCGTTCGTTGGTTTGGTTTCTCAAAGCATCAGTCACAACAAGTGGTATCAGAGCACGGGCAACGCTTGGGCTATTTGGAGGAGTAGATCGCTTTGGAAGTTCATCTAGGGCTTCGTTTGGTGATAAAGGTGGGATCTTTTTTTGTAAAAATCTCGTCTTTTTCAGTTTGGATCTATTTCTCGTTTGTTTCCGCATTGGTTTGGTGGTGCCTTGAGGATTATGGCCGAGAAAGAAGGAGTTGTGGGCAGTACTTCCGGCGTGAAGACCGTCCAAAGCTTGAATATCCACTCAATGAAGATTGATGTGGAAAAGTTCAATGGCACAAACAATTTTGGACTTTGGCGATGCGAAGTCATGGATGCGCTCAACGCGCAAAATTTGGAAGATACGTTGGAGTTGGACGGGAAACCGGACAACATTGATGAGAAGGTTTGGAAAAAGATGAATCGAACGGCGTGTGGTGTGATTAGGTCTTGTCTCACTCAAGATCTAAAGTATGATGTGATCAATGAGACTTCTGCAAAGAAGATTTGGGAGATCCTTGAGAGCAAGTATTTGACCAAGAGTGTGGAGAATCGCTTGCATTTGAAGAGGAGGCTTTACCGCTTCCAGTTGAAGAAAGGAACCTCCATTGGTGATCACATGAACCACTACACGAAGCTTCTTGCGGATTTGGCGAATGTGGATGTTAAGATTGAAGATGAGGACAAGGCGTTGTTGCTATTGAGTTCCTTGCCTGACGAGGAATATGAGACCTTCGTTCTTACTCTTATTAATGGGAAGGCATCTCTTTCGTATAGTGAGGTCACCGCTGCACTTGTGAATTATCAGCTTCGAAAGAAGGATAAGGAGACTTCGTTTGAGCCGGTAGCGGGGGCGTTGGTCGCAAGAGCAAAGGGTCCAAACCGTAGTGGGAGGTCGCAGTCTAGAGGGGCACATCTTGGAGTTCGTAAGAATCAATGTGCCTTTTGCAAAGAAGATGGACATTGGAAAGCCGATTGCCCAAAGTTAGTTGATCGAGCCGGGAAGAATAAGGGAAAAGCTATTCAAGCTTCAGAGGCGAATGTTGTCAAGGCTAGTGGCAACGATTCAGATTCGGATTCTTCGGGCTACTCGTTATCTGCACTGCCGTCAGTTTGTGTTGCCTACTCTACAGAGTGGATATTGGATTCGGGTGCTACATACCACATTTGCCCTAGGAGGGATTGGTTCTCCAGCTTTCAGGAGTTGGAAAGAGGGGATTTCGTGCTCATGGGGAATGATCACAAATGCTCTATTGGTGGTATTGGTACTGTTCGGATCAGGATGAGTGACGGGGTGATTCGGGAGTTGGTTGGAGTGAGGTTCGTTCCTCAGTTGAAGAAGAACATCATTTCACTTGGAGCTTTGGAGGCAGCTGGCTATAGGGTGACCTTGGCGGATGCACGCTTGAAGGTTACATTTGGGTCCATGATTGTGATGAAGGGCGTCAGAAGAAGAAATTTGTATTATTTGCACGGAAGCACGGTGATTGATAGGGAAATGACGACTTCATCAGATTCGGCTAGACTGTGGCATTGTTTGGTGCTGGGGTATATGATTGGTAATACCGTGCATTGGTTGTTGAGGAGTGCTATGACCTGCAGATTGAAGTCCTGTGAGCACATTAGGATGAGCGAGACCGTGGTGGAGTTTGGCACTTCTATCCATCGAGCGAGGGGTCTTTTTGGAGGTGTTCAGTCAGGCATTTGGGGGCCTTCCAAGGAGGCATCATTGGGAGGTAATCGTATCTTGGTTTCCACAGTTGGTGATTGTTCTAGGCATTATTGGGTCGCGACCAGTTCCCGTTGGTGTAAAGTCCTAGAAGTCAACAACAATTGGAAGAAGTGTATTGGCAGAAAGGTAACTCATTGTTTCAGCTTTGGTAGGGGTCCTTTCTTGCGTTGGTGCCGAGCTCACGGCAATAGGAGACACTTCATTGGTGTGGAGACTTTGGGGCGACGAGATGAGATGACAGTTTCGATGGGTCGTTCCTTTCTGGAGGAGGATCGGCGTTTGATGTCGAGCATTGGCATTGGTGTGCGGGCTTCGACATATTTGGGTCATCTTATGCATAGGTCGCCGACTGCTGCTTTAGGAGTTATTAGATCTGGTGGAGCTGCTTCAGATTTTGGGTCGCGTCGGATATTTGGATACCCAGCATTTGGTCACATCGTGGATGTGAGATTGGATCCGATTGCGCGTTTGGGGTTCGGAGGCTCAGTTGATTATCGTTTGGGAGCTTCTGATTTTGTTCTGAGCAGGTATGTCACTTTTGACTCTCGGCAGGTGGAGAGTGTTGATCAGGTCATTTGGATATCGCAGCAGGTGGAGAGTGATGCTACTCCACGTTGGGTGGAGATTACTCCACATACTCCAGATCATACTGCGTCATTTGGGATTCCAGCTAAGGTGACACAGGTTGGAGATCATTTGGTTTTGGATGCAGATGATGGATTGGTTTTGGATTCAGTTGCAGCTGGTAGATATAGTTTGGATATGGCCATTGGTTTACCTCAGGTGGAGGTGTTTGATTTGTCTCAATTTGGGGTCATTGGGAATACTATCAGTTGCAGATCGTTTGGTGATATTGGAGAAGAGTTGCAGACTTTTCTATTTGATTGAGGGCCTTTGGAGGCCGTTTGGGTGAACTACGTGAAGGCTTGATTCCTTGGGCAAAGGATACGTAGGCAGTCATTTTGATGCAGCCGATTTGGTGAGCGACATCGACATTTGGGGTGAGTGTTCACACTCTCATTTGGGTCTCAGCATGTGAGGCATTTGTTTGGTTGGTGTCGGCTCAGTTTTGGGAAAACTTCGCCGAGGTGGAGAATTGTGGAGAAGAATTGGAAAAAGCAGATTTTTGGTCATAAGTCGACTCATGCACAGGCATAAGTCGACTTATGGTAAGTCGACTTATGTTGGTGCATGAGTCGACTTACGTTCTGCTCTGGATTGTTGGTTTTTTGCTCTGCCAAGTCGACTTATCAGGTCTGATAAGTCGACTTATGATCTCTTCTCCAGTTGCTGTTTTTCGCTCTGCCAAGTCGACTTATGCAGACTGATAAGTCGACTTATGATGGGTTTTTTGGAAAGTTCAGGTTCCTATTTGCAGTCTGTTTGGGTTTCTGTTTTGGTATAAATACCAATACGATTTGAGGGTTTTCTGAGGAGAGTTTTGGGGTTTTGGAGCACAGAAAAAGAGAGATCTTTCTGAGCTATTTGTTAGGGTTATTGGTTGAGAGATTGAGAGATTTGTTGGTGAGATTAGTTGGTTCGTTTGAGCGATTTGTAATCTCAATTTGTACTCTCCTTCTCTATTAGTGAAAACCCACCCCCTTCTTGCCCCGTGGACGTAGGCAATTTGCCGAACCACGTAAAACCTTGGTGTTTGTGTTTTGTTTGGTCTTTCTCTCGGCGTTCGTTGGTTTGGTTTCTCAAAGCATCAGTCACAACATGATTTTCTCATTTCTGTTAGATTGAGCATCCATTTTCAGTGCTAGCCATTAAATTAGCTGGCGAGTTTGTGATTTATTGGATTCACTTGAAGTCAATGGAATGTTTTGCTGTGAGCAAGCGACTGTTAGCAATGTTGTCTTTGCTTTTAATGGTGAGATATAAAGCAAGCATCATACATGAGCAGACTACGACGGTGTTCGGGGAGGCTTTTTTTTAAGCTTATTAGTTATGCTAGCTATTAGTGGCTTTTGGCTTTTATGATCAAAGTATTATAAAATTTATTTGGGTACTATGGCAATTTGTTTGGTCAAATCTAGCTTATTTAGATGAGCTTATAAGTTTGTTTTTCAAAACCTGGGGTATACTAGCTTTTTAAAATGTGACTTATAAACTAGTTTATTTCATATTTCACCAAACATGTAGAAATGAAAAAGCTAGCTTAGAAGCTAGTTTGACCAAAAAAATAAGCCGCCCCAAACACCCTCTATGTTTTAGATTTGAGCTTAGTTTGTATTTATTTTTTTTAATAAAAACTGAGGGTATTTAGTTAATATTTTTAAGGCTTGTCCTTTTATTCATTTGCACAAGAGAAAATTATGGTAAATTACCATATTTGTATTTTTTTTATGAGGCTATCTTCATCAGATTAGTGTTTTTAAAACAACAATAAAGTATTTAATCTGCAACATCAAGTCAATAAGACCAATTTCTTCACCACCGGTGAACAATTGCTTGCGAATTGTCACGTCAGGCTCATGTGATTTTAATTTGAACAACTTTAAAGCTGATGTGACTATGACTAGTTTTGTAATTTTTTTTATTGATTGATATGTGACCTAAAAATAGGCATTTCAAAAACTAAAGATAAAATTGTAAATCTTGTTGATACTTAAATTATTTACTGTTTTATTGAGAATAGCATAGAAGACATATAATTGGAGTAAAAAACCTGAAATAATAAGATGAAGACAGGAAAATGGTGGAAAGAGGACAGATTACGCCTAGTGCCATAACAGATAGAATGGTAAATATAACAAAAAGAATGGTAGGTATAGGGGAAGAAAAAGCAGTTAAATGGAGAGGATGGAACCAAGAGAAGAAGAGAAGGATGAGATAAGAAACAAGCAGAGGGAAGATAAATAAATGGTAATTTTAGGAACACAAGTAGTTGATATTACAATTGATGAATTAATTTTGATTTTAAATCTTAGCTAAATTTACTCATTTTATCGTCACTATTTAGATTTTCTTTAACTAAAAGTTTTTCTTGTTAAACTTGCTGGTGTTTGTGCTCAGGAGTTGCAGTTGATAAACTTTGAAATGTCGTCCAATGTGCAATCTGGCTGGTGGTTCTAAGATTTTGAGTTAAGATGCTTGACCACATCAGCAAAGTTCTCAGAGAACTTACCTACTTTGAAAGGTACTAACTACTGAGAGTGGATCCTAGAGAGTATTAGGATGAATTTGGTGAAGAAATAAAAGATGTATCACCATATAATATAAAACCAATTAACTTCGAACCATAGTTTCACTAATACAGCACACAGCATGCAGATATCACACAATACAAATACATGGGTGCAACGACAACAACAACAACAACAAAATCTAGGATACATATATGTTGTTGATACAACAACAAGAAAACCGCATGTTATGATATCAACATGTTGACATTATAACATAATTAGCAAGGCTATAATAGTTAAAGAGATACAATAATTCAAGCACCTGATGGGAATGCATTTGGTATACATTATCAGCATCACTGCATCATAGTTTGCATGTAATGTGTATTGAGTGCAGTTCCATCAACTATTATAGTTTTATAATATTATATTTCTATTTTTAAGTAAAAATATATCTGTCATCCACCTATCTAAGAAAGGTTTTCTAGATCCACTACCGGCTGAAGTAACGTCTAACAGTAAATATTTTTTCTTGGGATTGGGTAGTTATAGACTGACATGTTTTCTTTTATTTCATATATTGGTAACATTTCTGTCAAAAGTAATATTTTAACCCATGTTGGAAATATATGTACTGAAGGATGAACTCAGGTACTTTGGCTTTTAACTGGTAAACATTTTATGCGCAGGTTTTACATTCAGAGTTCTTAGACTAATGCTGTTCCTTTCTCGAATTTTTGCACTGGTTGGCAATTCCGCAAGGCATTCTCTTGGTGAAGTTGTAATTTACTTGGCACCTTTTATCTTCAAAGTTAAATGTAATTTTGTTCCAAGTGAACATCTTAGCAATCATAAATTGCTCTAGATTGTTGATCTTCTTTTGTGACCTGTAGATTTGTAAGCGAATCTCTTAACAGCAATGCACGACTTGAAAGCTAATGCCGAATGTTTTGATAATATGTTTAGTGAACTAGGCTTCTTGATTTTTGTTGCGCCAATCATGAGGATTTTGTATATTTAAACTTAAAAACCTATTGGTTGATGGATTTTGCATGTACATGGCTCTTACTAGTTCTCCTTATTTCCCTCTTTTTCGTGTGTGCTCTGATTCTATTTTAGCTCAGACACAATATATATAGTATGCGAGCCATGTTTTCATGTGTCTGTTGGATTTAATCTAATAAATCTAATTGTGGGCACATATGATTAATCAATGTGTACTGCTATCTTTCAGAATAACCCACTAAAGTGATCAATTAATTTGGGTTAATTGGGTATTTAAATAAGTCATGGGGTTATATGTGCAGATACCAGGTTGTAATTGTAATTTATTGAGGGGCTAAATTACAAAAGTACAACATCTATAAATAAGAGGTTATGGTCCCTAACCTAGTGTTACATTCTCTAATTCTCTTCACCCCCATCTAGAAAGAGAAATTCGGATTTAGAGAAACCCTAAGGTTAGAAGATCATCAAAAACCCAAATCAAGTTTTCTTCTATGGATTCAGGTATAAGCTTCCGCTCATCTATGATTCTTGTTAATCTCTTTGAATTAATCATGGTTATATGGTTTTAGATCTCAAGTTTTGGTTTAGATCTAACAAGTGGTATCAGAGCCACCTTGATTAATTCTTAGGGATTTAAGTTTTATTGGGTTTTTTTATCTTAAATCTCTGGTTAAAGATTCAGTTTTGTTTTTCGGATGAACAGTAAATTTTTTGTTTGGATGAACAGTAACGAAAATTTTCGGATGAACAGTAAAGTTTTTGTTTGAGTGAACAGTAACAAAATTTTTTCGGATGAACAGCAAAGTTTATTTTTCGAATGAACAATAACTGAAAAAATCGCCGGTGAACAGTAACTTTTTGGAATTTTTTGGATTTTTCGGCGGTTTTTTCTTGGATCTGGATCAAGAAAACTCATTTTTCGATTCTAGATCTGTTTTTGATTTAATGGCGGCGGTTTCAGTTTGAAACCCTAAGGGTTCGTGCGTGAAAACGTGGCGAACATTAAGGAGGTGGTTACCTCAAATTTTGGCGAAGCGGTAAGCTTCAAACGAACCTCGCGTTCATTCAATTTTAACCGAACTTCGCGTTCAAACGAACTTCGCATTCGTTCTCAAGTGAGCCTCGCGCTTAACGAACTTCGCGTTCGTTCTAATGTGAGCCTCGCGCTCAGTTCTAAGGCGAACCTCGCGTTCGAGCTTCAGTCGAACCTCGCGTTCGTGCTTCAGTCGAACCTCGCGTTCATGCTTCAGTTGAACCTCGCGTTCGTTCTTCAGTCGAACCTCGCGTTCGTTCTTCAGTTGAACCTCGCGTTCATTTTTTCAAACGAACCTCGCGTTCGTTCTCAAGTTGAACCTCGGCTTTTTCATGGGTCCACTTTGGTATACTTAATTTATTCAATTAAGTTATAGGCCCTAATTAAGCTGTGAGACCCCAATTAAGTTTTTTGGAAATTCAGTTGATTTAAATTAAAACTTTTTAATTTAAATCTAATTTGGTTTTTAATAATTATTTAATTCAAATATTATGACACTAAGGTATTAAGGTTGTCTCTCACTCCAATTGATTAATTGAAACAAGAAGTTGCCAAAGTAACCTCTCTTGTGTAGATTATTCATGAGGAATGTGAGATGTTTGTATGTATGCTTTCGTGTAAATATTTAATCGGCCCAAAGGATGTTCGAAGTTAAGCGAACTTCGTGTTCACTATGGTTAAGCCTCAGCTTTTCATGGGTCCACTTTGGTATACTTAATTTATTCAATTAAGTTATGGGCCCTAATTAAGCTGTGAGACCCCAATTAAGTTTTTTGGAAATTTAGTTGATTTAAATTAAAACCTTTTAATTTAAATCTAATTTGGTTTTTAATCAATTATTTAATTCAAATATTATGACACTAAGGTATTAAGGTTGTCTCTCACTCCAATTGATTAATTGAAACAAGAAGTTGCCAAAGTAACCTCTCTTGTGTAGATTGTTCATGAGGAATGTGAGATGTTTGTGTGTATGCTTTCGTGTAAATATTTAATCGGCCCAAAGGAAGGTTAATATTTATTTAGACTGTATACACATCTGCGATGATAAGCGTGTGACAATTATAAGGTTTACATGTGAATAATGAATCGATCCAAAGATAGTTTCATTATTTGACATGAGTTATTGTCAATGTTTGATCATTGCAACAAGGTATCACTTACAAGTTAATATTACTGTCCAAAGACTTGATATTAATGTTGTGCCGGTATCTTGGATGGGGATTGTCATTATTTGAATTTTATTGATTATGGTTATTGATGTGAGCATTTTTTGTTTTATTTCAGCTAATGCATCTGCTGCAACAATTTCTGCTAACATCAACTCAATTCCCATGCTAAATGGGACAAACTTCAAGGTTTGGAAAGAGAACATATTAATTGTTCTTGGCTGCATGGATCTTGACTATGCATTAAGAACTGAACAACCCCAACCTCTCAATGCGGATAGCACTCCTGATGCAAAGAAGGAGCATGAGAAGTGGGAGCGTTCAAATCGCATGAGTCTTATGATCATTAAGCGCGGCGTTCCGGAAGCCTTCAGGGGCATAGAATCCGAAGGGATTACTAAGGCTAAAGATTTCCTTGCTGAAATTGAGAAGCGTTTTGCGAAAAACGATAAGGTAGAAACAAGCACGCTTTTAGCTCGCTTGATTTCAATGAAGTATAAGGGCAAAGGAAATATCAGGGAGTACATTATGGAAATGTCTCATATTGCTTCAAAGCTTAAGGCACTTAAACTCGATCTTTGTGACGAGTTATTAGTGCATCTGGTTTTGTTGTCTCTTCCTGCACAGTTCAATCAGTTTAAGGTCAGTTATAACTGCCAAAAGGAGAAATTGACTCTAAATGAGCTCATTTCATACTGTGTGCAAGAAGAAGACAGGTTGAAGCAAGATAAGACAGAAAGTGCTCATTTGGCCTATGCCTCTAAGGATAAGGACAAGAAAAGGAAGAATGATAAGGAAGCTGCTAAGGGTTCAGTTGAAAAGAAATAACATAAGGATAATCAGAGTTGTTTCTTCTGTAAGAAGCCTGGACATGTAAAGAAGGACTGTACAAAATATCACGCCTGGTGTGATAATAAGGGTATGTTCCTTACTTTGGTCTGTTCTGAGGTTAATTTAGCTTCAGTACCTAGAAACACTTGGTGGTTAGACTCTGGTGCTACTACTCACATAAGTGTTTCTATGCAGGGTTGCATGAGCTACCGAAAGCCAAGTGATGTTGAAAGACACATCTTTGTGGGCGACGGACAATCGGTAGATGTGGAAGCAATTGGGCACTTTAGGTTGTTGTTAGGAACTGGTTATTATTTGGATTTAAAAGATACTTTTGTAGTACCGTCTTTTAGACGGAATTTGGTTTCTGTTTCTGTATTGGACAAATCAGGTTATTCTTGTTCATTTGGAAACAGTCAATTCAGTTTATCTTTTAATTCAAATGTTGTGGGAACCGGTTACTTGAGTATTTATGACAACCTATATTTGCTTGATACAATTGCTTCTTACAATGAATCCTTGCATGTGGAATCACGTGGTACTAAGCGTAAATTAAATAAGGAAAATTCGGCGACATTATGGCATAAGCGCTTAGGTCATATCTCAAAAGGTAGAATTGAGCGTCTTGTGTCTGATGGCATTTTGGATTCCCTTGATTTTTCGGACTTCGACGTATGTGTTGAATGTATCAAGGGAAAACAGACCAAAGTGAAAAGATTAGGTGCCAACAGATCTTCGGATGTCTTAGAATTGATACATACGGATATTTGTGGGCCATTCCCTACGGAATCCTGGAATGGTCAACAATATTTTATATCATTCATAGACGATTACTCACGTTATGGGCACCTATATCTTATTCATGAAAAATCTGAGTCTCTGGACATGTTCAAAGCCTATAAAGCTGAAGTTGAGAATCAACTCAACAGAAGAATTAAAACCGTCAGATCTGATCGTGGTGGTGAGTACTACGGTAGATATGATGGTTCAGGTGAACAACGTCCAGGACCATTTGCTAGATACCTAGAGGAATGCGGTATCGTCCCACAGTATACTATGCCGGGTTCACCTAGCATGAATGGTGTAGCTGAAAGACGAAACAGGATTCTTAAGGATATGGTAAGAAGTATGATTGCTCATTCTTCTTTACCAGAGTCTCTCTAGGAAGAAGCACTTAAGACAGCAGCTTACATTCTGAATAGAGTACCAAGTAAAGCAGTTGCTAAAACACCTTATGAGCTTTGGACTGGTCGAAAGCCCAGTTTAAAGCATTTACATATTTGGGGATGTCCAGCTGAGGCAAGGCCTTATAGGCCAAATGAAAAGAAATTGGACTCCAAAACAGTTAGCAGCTACTTTATTGGATACTCTGAACGCTCTAGGGGCTATAAGTTTTATGATCCCACTATAAGGAATATTTTTGAGACGGGAACAGCAACATTCTTTGAGGATGTTGAGTTTGGGGGGAGAAATAAGGTTAGAGACATTAGTTTTGAGGAGGAATTGGCTTCAGATCCAATCCATACAGTTACTTTTGACAATATTCAGGTTCCTATACCTGTTGTTGCTCAAGAAGTAAATCCGGAACCTCAAGATGATAATGTTGAACAACTCCCTGTTCCAGAAGAACAAACTCAACAACCTCAAGAACCAGTGCCATTAAGGAGATCCACGAGAGAAAGGAGAAATGCTATTCCGGATGATTATATTGTATTTCTCCAAGAACATGAGGAAAGTAGTGGAATGTTAGAAGATGATCCAATCAACTTCTCTCAGGCCATGAAAAGTTCTAACTCTCAACAGTGGATTGATGCCATGAATGAAGAGTATAAGTCTATGCAAGACAATAAGGTTTGGGAACTTGTCCCATTGCCAGAAGGTGCAAAACCAATTGGTTGTAAATGGATTTTTAAAACCAAGCGGGATGCAAAC